CTGAAATCATGACTGCCAGTACCTGCTGAGCTAGAATCATGAGAAACACTTCTCTGTATTAGGTCATTTAATAGATACAGGAAGTCTTTGAAATAGGTTCAGAAATAATGTCATTTATTTGGCATTGCTGCCTTCCAAAATACCAAAACCATTGTTATCTTTTGAGAAAGGCTTGATCATGTTCTCTAAACTAGGTTAAGGGTCTCAAGCTTTATGTCAATTAATCCTCCTAACAACTCTGTAAATTAGTTGGTATTGTTGTCTCCATTTAACGAATGAGGAAACTGAGGCTTAGAGAGACATAATTTGTCCAAGATCAGTTAGTAAATAATAGAGCTAAGAAGACAGAGTAAGATCTTATAATCACTGTAGTAAACTGCTATTAAAGAATCAAAGAGATTAACAATGTAAAGTCAACAAAGTTAAATAGTAATCAACAGAGGTGGCATTTGAACTTCAGACCAGTATCAGAACTGACCAGCATGCAACCACTTTGATAAATGTATGTCTGGTACCTCTATGCTCAATGCACTGTGCTAGGTTTGAGATGAGATACAAACACCATTCTCCTCAATCACCGTGAGGTTTACTAGCACCTTTGGGAAATCAAGACTTATGATACTTATGAAACATTTCAGAAAAACAGTATGAATACAGCGTTAAGAGTCAAGGGAATCAGTATACACAATAGGTACTGAAGACATCGGAGAGAGAACTCTCTTTGGGGTGAGACAGTCAGACAAAGCATGAGGGAGAATGAGGATGGGCAGGATTTTCAAAGATTGGGATGCAAGCAAAGCAGGATGACCATTTGGCTGGAATGGTCCTGGAAGATCCCAGCAAGGAGAAACTGAGAACAGAGAATGAACACGGTAAGGACATTTTCTAATATTAAAGAGTTGGAGATTCAGTTGGAAGGTATGTTGGACCAGACTTTAGACTTTGAATGCACAATACGGCTTACAAACATTTAAGACTTCTAAGCAGCAAGGTGATATGATTTGACTATATCACAGTCTCCTGCCTTGGGAGAAGGAATCCTGGTAGAAGAAAAGAATGGTTTCTCCTTAGTATAATGACCCACTTTTTAAAAGATACCCTTTTTGTTATTCTAAACACAATAAATAAACACCAAAGAAAAAAATTGGAAAATGCAGTATAAAGAGAGCAAAGAACATCCATAAACTTACCACTGAGAGACCATCATTATTGAGATTTTAGTGAATTTCTGTTTAATCATTTAAGAAATATTTAGAGCACCTGCTACATCCCAGATACTACTCTAGATGCTAAGTCTACAGCAGTGAAAAAAATTATCCAAATTTCCTACCCTTAATTAAGCTTTCACATAACTATTTCTATGATGAGCCTATGGGTGTGTACTCTTTGTGTATGCTTTACTAATTCTTATATGGAGTGTTTTTAGTTTATTTTCACTGCATATAACATAATAGTCATTTGTTATGCTTGTTATTAAATTTTTTGAAATTATTTGGAAACATTTAAAAACAAAAAGTAATATTTATTAAATTATTTGGAAACTTTTCATGGCTGTGTTACTCACAGTCCTCAGATGCTCAAAATCGTATTTAGTTATTCTTACTGTCATGAGGACATAAGACACTTTGTGAAGCTGATGAAAGTTATGGACAGGCACACCAAATGTAGCATATAATTTCAGGTGTTCATAGATCTTTTCAATTATGAGCCCTAATTTGATAATTTCCCAATTGTTAGACATTTGAATAAGTAATTTTTCACTATTACAACTTACATTCAATATTCTTGCACATAAAACTTTGTCTATATCTCCAATTATACTATCAGGGTGGATTCCTAAAAATGAGAAGAAGTTCAGGGTAGGAAAACTTAGACTTGTTTTAGTGCTCCAAATTATCTTTTGCTATTAGTGTGTAGTCTTCTCTTATATTTCTGATTTCTGTTAGTGTTCTTTATATAGCTGTAACTTTTTGTTTAATAAAAAATTTCGGTGGTTATTTGCACAAATGATTCATGATTTTTCTATCCTGTGGGATAAACATGTATTTATTCATATAAACTGACCTTCTTTGTCCCACTTGATGCTTATCTTGAATTTTGTATTTATTGTCACCCTCTTTTTATTTTTATCTCCTGTCATATCTGTTGATGTGAGTTTTTTTTGTTGTCCTTGAGCATAGCTTTTAAATAGAGTAATGTCTATTATTTGGTTTACTTTTGGTTTTAAAATTATGGAATAAGACACACATTTTAAATATCTAGTTTTTCCTTGTTTTTAAATTGAATGTAAGAAATCTTTATTTCTATTTATGTTTGGCAGATTTCAGCAATCATTTCTAAGAGACTTTTGGTAATGCTCAATCACATTTACACACAAACACCTTCAAACATTTAAAAATGTAACTATACATTTAATATATTTAGATTCTTTTTTACTACTTCAGTTGTCTGAATTAACAAATCTAACCTTCCTAGGTGCATAAATTAAATATCCAGTGTTTACATTTATAAATATAATTAACTGTTATTTTGGTTGTCAATATTGTACTTAAACTTCAGTTAGATTTCAACTTAAAAAGTAAATTTAAATCACTTACTCAACATATTAACAATTAACATTTAAACTGAGTTGCAAGGCTATAATAGCAGAAAATTAATCAATTTTGAATAGACTCTGATAGACCAAATTAATTTCAACAGTCCATGTACATAAGATCCTAAACATGAACATGTACCTTAACACAAAAATATTTATATATTATGGCTTTGATTCTCTTTGCCTTTTTAACTTAATTTTAAATTTTCCAGGGGTTAAAACATGCATACCTACTAAAGGACAATTTCCATGGTAATTAACTGAAGCTACTTAATCCTCAATCTTTTTATGCTGAAAGGTATTAACCTATTCATTCTAGATAACTGGGATTATTTATAGCCAGAGCTCCTGGCCAGGCACGAGAGCTATGCCTTGCCTGTTGACACCAGAATGCCCTGGTGCCAGACTGCACCCCTACTTTACAGCCACCATTTAAAACTTAAATATTAGATTATAAAATTTAATTGGTTTGTGTAGCCCACGTTCATAAAATCTGAAATGTTATCTGCTTTATTGTTTTCTCTATTATGAAATTGTTTAAAATTAAAAAAATTTTTTTTGCATCTTGAACTATTTTTGTTATGTCCTATGTTTGTTTCTCTAGTTATCTGGAAAAGATTTATCCTATTTTAATTTTTCTAGTAAATTACCTTTAAGTCTTACACATGCACAGGCATACACATACCCATCCACACACAATTTTCCCCTTAGTGAAACAGCATCTAACGGCTCCTGAACTAAATGAGAAATAGCACATTTTACTTCTTTCTTATCTTTCTTTCACCCATTTCCCAACTTTTTGTTGTTATCTGGAATTCTGGACTCAGATTACTATTATTATTATTATTATTATTATTAGTAGTAGTAGTAGTAGTAGTAGTAGTAGTAGTAGTAGTAGTAGTATACTTTAGCTATTGATATTTTTCCATTTTTATATTTCATTGGTGATTTAATGAGAACCTGTAGAGAAGGAATAGAGGCATATGCTCAAGTAACCTTTTGCCAAGAAGTCCATTTTAAGGTTCTTAATACGTATTGCCGAATTACTTTCCAGAAAAGTTGTACCAATATACAGCCTTACCACCTATTCAGAGGGTACCCGTCTCACTACATCCCGCAGAACTGACCACTATTTTTGGAACCTTTACCTATTTGATGGAAGGAAATGGCGTTTGATCATTTCTTTTCCAATTATTTATTGGGGGTAGCTGGGGAAGGAAGTTGTTAGGAACTATAATTCCAGTGATCTTCCTCTGATGAAATTATACTCAGTAATGAAGGACCTTTCATAAATTGAGTAGGTTTGATTCAGGATCTTGCTTATATATATTATTAGTTAATTTCCAAAGTAAGCATTTCATAATCTTTTCCAGTAGGCATTTTCTGGGCATGTAGAGCCAGAAAAAAAGTACAATGGGTAGTAGTTGTTTTTAATACCAAGAATCCAAACACTCACTCTTAGTCATGGAACACTGGCACTGGGCTATATGAATTCTCATAAAGTAAATAAATTAGTTAATCAGTAAATTCATGTTAATAGAAAACTATAGTCACAATAACTAATTTGTAAAACCTGTGGTACTGGCAAATATTATGATAAGATATATTGGCCTAATGGTGTTCTGCAAATAGATTCTGATTTGCAAAACTAACCAACACAATAGCAGTCATTTCGCGTGAAATATTCATATCAAAAATGTTGACTGGAGTGATTGAAAGTCATTCACTTAAAACTAATAAACAAACACACTCATCTCTCTTATAATCCTGGCATAGGCATACTCAATTTAGCAGTGTTCCTTTGTATTATTTTTGTTCATCAGCAGAAGTGACTTAGAATAAAATTTGCTACCAATTTCCTTGACAAATATATATATGCAGACATGTTTCTACATGGATGGTAACGGCAGGAGTAGCATTTCAAGCAGAAGGAATAGCATGAGCAAGCACATGTGGGGACTGAGGTGGGGGAAGCTGGCCAATATTCACCATAAGACTAGTGAGGCGTACATGAGGCCCCTTGCCAAGACTAACTTCATTCTGATAATTACTACCACAATTATCTGAATTTTACCTTTAAACCAGGTTTCGATAAGAATTCCAAAGAAAGAAAAGAATCCATGAACTAACTTCACCCAGAAACCATTCAAATGTGATTTAATGAAGGGTATATTTTAGCAAATGTAAAAAAGTTTCACAGATGTCCATTCACTTACTTTAAATCAGGCTGAGTATAGCACAATTTAGATATTTTACAAATATTCTTTTATAATTAATAAAGCTAACAACAAGAAGAAGAAGAAGACGTTGATGGAGTTTATGCCAGGCACATGCATTATCTCATTTTATCCTCATAATAATCAAAGAACTTGTTTCACTTATTATTCTTATTTTATAGATGAGAATTTAACCAAGGTTGTGCCTCTAAGAAGTGAAAGACACAAGATTTGGACTCAGGTTGTTGGATTCCAGAGTCCATGCTTTTAATGATTACTTTGAAGGTAATAATGATGCTGCTAATTTCAGGATGTCACAAATATATTTTATTTTGCTACAAAGCCATATTTACTTCCTTATCAATGTGGAGCTGGACATAGAAATTTACTCATGCTTAAACAAGAGCTGCCGGAATTGCTGTTCTTTCTCCTCTCTCTACTTCATCCATAATCAAGGTCATAATAATGAATTTGTAGCCCTACAATGAATCCATTTTATGACCACAAATCATGATGTCCAAAACACACAAATACGATTTTATGGTCAAATTACCTAGAAAGAAAATTCTTACTTTAACACAAATACCTGTAATAATGACAAAAGAAAGAAAATTATGGGTAAAATAAACTGCTTGTTTTTGTATAAACATTGTTTTTCTTCAAGATCTTATCAGTATTAAAGCCCCTCTTTCAAATCACTAAAGTCACTTTAAATTTTGCCCTTTCAGTGCCTCCTCCTACTTCATGAAAAGTTAGTTAGAAAACAATCTAAATTAACCCCTTTCCCATGACATTATCATTTCTACTTTCCAGGAGTTAGTAAGCAACCCTAAATACAGACTGCCCATAATAAAAGAAGAGGACTGGATGGCATGGTAAATGAGAAGCGACAGGTATGAGGGAACTGCCACTGCAATGACAATGGCACACACCAGCAGACAGGGGCTGACATCCGTGTTCCATACAGAGCTCTTCAGCCCCATGAGAAGGACACTGGCAGCCCGACAGAGAGGCCGGCAAAGGACACGCACTGGCTGTTCACATCAAAAGAAAACAAAGTGGTCTTAATCGTTTGACAAGATACTTAATCTGTGTCATAATTAAAGAAATGCAAATGAAAATAGTAAGATACAATACTTGCTTTCAGGTGAGGGGAAGAAAAACCTGGTTGTAGAGGAACAGTCACACGTATCCTTCATATTTAGAGCACATCTTAGTATTTATCTAAGTTCAAAATGCACGCAACCTACAACTTAGTAATTTTACTTCCAGGAATATATTCCTAGAGGTGCATTTACACCATTGGCCCAGATATATGTGCTCAGGGACATTATGGCCACATTGCTTATAGAGGCAAACACCTGGAAAGCACCCAGGTGTCCTTCAAGCAGCATTAAAACCCCTCTGGAGGGCCAAGTGAAGAACTGGTCAATGAGGGGAGATAGAGAGAGGCCCAAGGTCAGAAGTGGAACAATGAATTAATTTTTTTTACTATATACGCTTTTATACCTTTTTATTTTTTTAAGTGTATATTTTTAAATAAATCCACTAAAACAAAAATTTTAAAGATCTTTTGGAGATTTGGAAGAGAATCCAAGGACAAAACTGACATGAGATTTCTTATTTCTTCCACAGAACATACCGTTCCAAGGATTATAAGGACACAGAGTGGGGAATCTGGAAGTAAGCCCCAGGATCATATGTTGAATTTGTGTGCTTGCTCTGTTTTCATATTCTGTGATATTTTCCTAAGACAAGGACTCAGTTTTACCCATACCACTGTTGCAATGTCAGAATTTAACACATAATGGCATAAAAATAGTTCAAATTATTTAACTTACTAAATTATTAGCACTCTTCAGGCTGCCTTCCATACAACCAAGAATATTTTTTCTATTTTTAAAGCACTAACCTTTCAAAACATTGGTGAACTGCCCACTGTAAGTCCATGACATCAAGACACCATATTTTTATCTCCATTACTATGCAACGTAAGACTAGCAGTCTTATAAATTCCTTGTAATTGCCAAACACATTACATGGAAGATCACAGCGTTAATTTGGAAAGGGGAACAGTTTTATGGCATCTAAAGGACTGAAAAAATTACCTCTAAGCCTTTTGGGAATCAAAGAGGCAATAAAGTGAAATTGAGTGCAGAAAGACTCACATTGTAAATCCATTTATAACCAAGCCTGTTTACTCAAGGATTTATTTGTGCCAGTAACTAGTCACCAAAGCTTAAATAGCATGACTTTACCAGAATTTCATTTAAAGAAAGTATCTGGTATTTTTTCACAAATAGTGTTCAGCTGATTAAAGCCTAATTACACCCATTGAATTAAAGGTATGAGTACATAATAAAATGTTCTAGTTCAGAGGAATCTGTGCTGGTGTTTGATTTCCAGCTAGTAATTTGGCTGGAATAAAATGGAAACAAGAAAGCAGACTGTTTAAAAGGTGCAGATTTATAACAACATGCATTTCTAAATTGTAAAAAGAAATAGACAAATACACTGCACACTTTTTAAATAGGATGTGCTGAAATCTAAAACACCCCTTTCTATTACCCAACATTTATAATCATAACACAAAACCACACTCACAGAGGCTAACAGCCAGAAAAAACATATTTCCATTTTAACGCCTTTAGATGATCAAAGCATCAGCTTAATAAAATCAGCTGAAATCCATTTACCCGCAAGCATGCCACTGCGCCGGGGGACTGCTTTCCCTTCCAGCCCTATCTATTCTGGAACAGGTGCTATACTAGTAAATTAATTAGTCTGTGGAGAAGCACCTTGTTCTCCATCTCTGCAGGCCTTCTGTGGGTCAGGGCCTTGAGGACTTCACCATCTGGGCAGAGTTTTCCCCAGAGAAACAATCAAAGCCCACAGATTGCTGCCTACAGAGGAAGGTTCAGATGACAATTAACCTTATTAGACTTCATTTTTTTACAGTTTATAGTGTGTCAACATGTTGGCTCCATAAATAATCTGCTACATCAAATAGGTGGAAAGAAGTGGTTTCTCCTCTTGTGAAAAGTTATAAAGCCCTCCAGAAAAGAAGTACAATATTTAAGAGAAGTGGTGTCTTTTACAAATATTCAAAGGAGAAAAAATAGGCTCTAGATTTCAAATAAAGTTCATGAGAAAACTATCATCCATTTCTGCTCAATGTAAATCCTGAGGGAGGGGAACTTTAATTTCTCTTTTGGGTCTTTCAAATTTTCTCTCAGGATTAATGCCTCCTATATGTGGTCTGAATATCTAACTCAAGAAATACATTTTTCTTTTTTAAAATCATATATTTGCTCCCTTTTGCCAACCACAGTTATGCATATATGATCCTGTTGTCCTGGAAATACAAAATAAAACCAATGAAGACAATTAGCATGTACAGCTTGTCACAAAATCAACAGATATTTAAGCCTACATTTTTAATCAGAATAAGCTGAATTAAACACTTCACAGATGATTTTGCAGCGTGGCACAAAAGAAAGTGCCCACTTTTTTTTTTTCAGTGTTCAAGTAAAATTTGAAAGAGGGTTTACTGAGAGATTATCACAAAGATTCTTGTAAGAAGGTCCGAAGAGTTCTTATTTATGTTTTGTCCCTTAATATTTGACAGATCCTAGGCCCCCATCTCCCTCAGTTCTATGACATGATTCCAAGTTATGGTTCTAAACCTGGGAAAGACACCTTCCCTGTTGGTTTCTCCCTCTTTTGCAACTTCCTTAGACAGCTCCAGTGGGGCCTTGCGAGTCACCACTGGGTTAATGATGTGTTTGGATGCTCGCTGACAGTGCAAGCAGCTCTTGTCTTCTCACGCATCCCCTGTGTTGATTCCCGTGTAAGTTGAAAATATTTGCAAACTTGAGCTGTTTGACATTAAAGCCCAGAACACTCATTTGGTTCTGCCTAAAGATAGTTTGAAGGGATTAGAAATGAGGAAGAAAAAACTTTTCATAAAATGTACCTTTTATAGCTTTAAAAATTAGCAGACTTGATACTGCCACTTGCACTCAAAACACACTTCCACTGAAGTTACTTTTGGAATTTGGATATCATGTGTTTAGCCTGGAATTTCTCTTGTCATAATATACTGCTTTTATTATGTAAGTGCAAAAAGGAAATTGGAGACTTAATGAAAACTTTACTTCTTCTAGTTTTGGTCAGAAGAAAAATCTGAAAATACTAAGTAAGAACTGAGGAATGACCTTAATGTATATGAGCATTCTTATTTGGCATATGCCCCTTTGTTATTAAATACATAGTTGCCATATTGATTAGTTATATTAGCTTGCATCTAACCTTATTACAATTGTTTTTTCAACCATGATTTACTATCGTGATTCTATTTTTGCATGCATAGTTGTGCTGGAAGGCTCAGAATTCATGAACAGATACAGAAAGAACATGAAGCTGGGAGTGGACCATGAAGTTAAGGTACTTTGGTTTGAAGAAACGGCCCTAACAGCCTCTGACAAAACAGTGCCCTCTAGTGGATAAACAGCTGGCATCAAAGCAATTCTCACATGGAGTGGGGGTAGGAGTTGGGAATCTGAGCCCATAGATGTCTTACTATTGTTGACATTATGAAAAAGAAGAGCAGCATCTAGGGTAACCCCAAAGACAAGAAGGGCATGCTTCAATCATACAGGAAACATTGTTGAGGGCCCACCATGAGCCAGCACGGGTGCTGTTCATGTGGAATACAAAGGTGAATAGAACAGAGTTCCTGCCTTCAAGAATCTCATGAACTTATACAAACACATTTACACATTTGAGGAAAATAAGCATGGGAGGAAGAGAAATAAAGGGGACAGGAATCTAGGTGTCCAAAAAAAAATTAACGTTTTCATAGGGGCTCTATTTTTAAAAATGCTGAAGTAAACCCAACCAGTTGACCAAGCATTGAAGTAGTTCTTTATTACCTGTGACAAATCCACCTCAGAATGATCTGTTAAAGCTAGCAGAAGACAGAACTAGATGAACTTTGTTCTCCCTAACCAAGGACCTTTTTGCATTACTATCATTCAGAAAGAGCTAAAGATCTTGACACCAGAAAGATCAGGGTTTGTGCAGCTGAATGAATCCTCAGGAGTGGGGTGTTGGGGGAAAGAACACATTTCAAAGTCCACTATGCCCCCCAAGACACCCTCCCATAAGGTCAGCCCATGGATTTCCTGGCAGGGGTATATGAGCCCTGTAGTGTGCAGGCATGAGAGGACCAACCTTCAGTTTGAGACTGTTCCTGATCACCAGTTGGGCACTCAGATAAACAAAGCATGGGCGACTATGTCCCCTTCAGCATTAATTATACTATGTTTTCATCCTAAGCCCTGAAAAAGCCTCATAGTAATACGTGCCTTGATGCTGCATTGCACAAACATATGTTATCACATGTCACTGAGTCATAGAAGCTGGTGGTATTACCAGGCAAATGAATGCAATGCTGTTGCTTGGGTGATTAACCAAAAAGAAACAGAGCTCCAAGAGAATCAGAAAGAAAACAAATGACAAGTATAAACAGTAAAAGTTTCGTCTATGCTCTTCCATGAAAAAGGCTTTCTTTATTCCCGAATTTGGTCAATTACTCCATCCTTTGTGACTCCACTAAACCCTAAACATATTTCCACCACAATACCTGTTACACTATGATGGACTTTGTTTAAATACTTGTTACCTTTTGCTAATTTCCTCAAACCTCCTGGAAGCCAGGGGTCATGCATCCCCATTTCCTTATTGTTCTTAGAATAATGCCTATAACAAAATAATCTCTCCATTAATATTTACTTGTTGAGTTACTGCTCAAAATATGTAATACTTTGAAAGGAATATATTATATTACCTAGATTTCATTAGATAAGTAGTATAAGAAGGTAAATAGTTCACATGTAAGAAAATTTAAATTTGAAGTTATCAAATGGAAAAATAACCTTACTAATAGAAAAAAAAGATCTTTTTAAAGTACCATTAAAATTACTGAACATGCAAAAATAAATGAAAAATAAGAAAATGCAATGTTGGCAGGACTGTGAGGAACCTGGCATATACAAGAGTATACATCATTGTGGAAATGTTCAGCTTTGGAGAAAAGCAATCTAGACAGTCATTGCTCAGATCCTTGATCGAGGAATTTTACTTGGGGAGATCTTATCACAACAGAAGATTCCAAAGATAAGGAAAAACATATTAAGCTATTTTCAGTCTCTCTCAGAGTAATGAAACAAAGGAAAAAATAAAGGAAGAAAGGTTGGGAGAAGGATGGAAGGAAAGTATAAATGAAATACTAAAATAATAAGAGAGGAAGGAAGGAAGAAGGCAAGGAAGAGAAAGGGAGGAAGATAAGGAAAGAAAAATGGAAATAAGATAAATGCCCCAAAATAAGGAAATCAGTAAGTAAATAAGGCATACAATATAGGGAAATACAATTTATATAACCAAAAGATAAACATGTATATTGGACAGATGCATGGAGGATATATATATATATATATACATACATATGTGTGTGTATATATATATAGATCCATATATAAAAATTAGTATTTATTGAGCATAATAGGTCAGACACTGTGCTAGGGTATCACTGTTTAATTCTCAGAACAAGACTAGTTGGCAGGTTATTTTGCACAATGTTTCACAGCTTAACTTTGAAAAATAAACTGATTTCAAAAAAAGCAGTAAGTTAAAATGTCTACAGTAAAATACAGTATTTTATATACTAGTAAAAATATACTTTATATATCAAAAGATAATTTTTAGTGATAAAAACATTTAGAATTCAATAACTATTTTTAAATTCCATCCACTAGAAATGATAAATATCAATAATAATAGCTTTAATTTATCTGGAGTTATATCCAGAGTTAGGGTGAAAATGGTGCATGGGACCAGTATCGAAAAAAGAAATTTAACAAGAAAAAATATTTCTACTCTTTTAAATGAATATATATTTTTTGGGGGGTAGTTGCAAGATCTTGGCCTTCATTTCTGAAAGTCTTCATTCAGGTCTACACCAACAGAAAGAAGCCCACACTGTCTCCACTAACCTCTGGTCATAGCACGAGGTGAAAGGGAATCATGCAAACGGAGATATTTAAATATTCTCTCTGTATAAAAGCTGTTTAGCTGCTGGAATCACTTCCTCTCGCGGTCCCTGAACTGAAGAAGTGGACCGATCAGCAGGGGCGGGGTGAACAGATGCAGCTGGAGAGGAAGAGAGGCTTGGGGGAGTCACATCTGAGCTGCCGTGGGGGATGAGCTGTGACCGAGGAGAGCTCAAAGCAGCCGCTGCAGGATCGGAGCGGCAGAGGGAGGGGCCTCAGCAAGGCAAAGGCGGGAGACGCGATGCGCTCAGAGGAGCTCACGGCTTGTGATACTTCCTGAATATCCACACAGAGTGAGAAAGACACTTATTCCCAGGGGCATTTAGGTGATTTCACCTTTTACATTACAGCCTGAGGAAATATCTAACAGACATTTCAATCTTCTGTTTGCCCCTTTTGGGCCTCTGTGATCAAGGCTCAGCCAGGATACATATCCCTGCAGGCAATTCCTCTATTCTATCCTCATTTCCCAAAAGGAAAAGCCAGTCATCTAAATTAGGCCTCAACCAAGAAAAGTTCTGGGAATGCCCAGTATTATTATTTTTCTAAGTGGCATCAGGGACTCACTCTCTTGTTCCCACCCCCAGTAGGTGAATGCTACCTCCTGCTTCCTGCCATTCAGAAAAACCCAAGTGACCAAGAAAAGTCCAGATTCTTGAAAAGAGAGAATTCCTGGTCAATTGAGAGATTAGAACACATTTCATGAATAAGAGTAACAAATTAACACTCCTCAGAAGAACTTTCTGAAAAAAATCCAGCCATATGGAAAAAGCTGAATGGCTGAATGTTCTGTCCTTCTGAGAGCCACTGTTTATAGAACATATTAAACTTCTTTATTATTAATGTTGTAAATAAGCAAAGCACAAACCACATATCTTATAAAGATCCTCATTTTATTCCTGGGGATAATTTTGGAAATGAAGATAATGATAATCCTTTGCATTAACATAGGGCTTTACAGTAAATTGCTGTAAATTAATACATGTTTCCTATTAAATATCTTATTTAATTTTTAAAGCTGGAATTTTAGGGGGTGCTTTTTCATACCATTTCTAAATGCCATTGTCAGAGATAAGGACATTCTTTAGAACAACTGTTACATGTATACACATACACATTTAAAAATTATTGCTCATAGTTACTTAGTCTTATCATGAGTCTATAGCTCTCCTAATTCCTAACAGCCCCTTCAGCACCTAGGACAGGGCTGCATTTCACACACAGGTGTTTTTTTAATTAAAGTATAGTTGATATACAATATTATATTGGTTTCAAGTATACAACACAGTGATTCATTACATACATTATTAAATCCTCACCCAAACTAGTGTGGTTACTATCTGTCAACACAGAAAGATGTTATAGAACTATCAACTATATTCTCTATGCTGTACTTTCATCCCTGTGATTAATTTATGTTATGATTGAGATTCGGTGCCTCTTTATCCCCTTCACCTATTTCACTCACCCACTCCAACCCCTCCCCTCACTGGTCACTTCTCAATGTCTATGAATCTACTGCTGTTGTGTTCATTTTATTTTGTTTTGTTCTTAGATTCCACATATAAGTGAAATAATACGGCATTTGTCTTTCTCTGCCTGCACTATGCAGGTGTTTGAAGGAATAAATGGTAGATATTGAGGGAGAAGAGCTCCACTATAGAGCTCTACATATTTCAGAAGAGCTCCAAAAGGCTAGCCTTCAAGATATAGGGAAAAGGCAAAAATCACCCTTTTAAAAATCTTTAAGAAGCAACTATTATACCAGTCTATTATTTTAATTATAGGGTGTTTTTTTCCCAGTAACCTCATCTCAAGTAATACTAATACAATAGAAACAATATCCAAACATAAATACAAGTTAATTTTCAGGAACCTTTCTCCAAAGAGCTTTATGTGGTTAAACCCCTTTTCTTCCCTGTGAACCAAGGTTGCTACCATTGTTTCCTTTTATAAACAGCAAATAAAAAAACCAAGATGGGAAGAAGAGAACAGAATAAGGAATTAACATTCATTGAGCATTTAAAATGTGTCTGATAAGGTACAGGGCCTTTTTTCCCACATTATCTCAATCTTACTAATAACCCTGAGAAATAAGTATTCTTGTTTAGATGAGGAAATTGAAGCTCAGGAACTTAAAACAACTAATCCAACAGACCCAGATGATCCAAGAGCTTCTATTAATCAGAACTCCTAATTATGAGTAAATTCATGTGTTTACCAAGTATCCCTCTCCCTCTCTGTCTCTCACAAACACACACACCACATACACACTGAAAGATAAAAACACACAGTCAATTAAAATGAGAACTTCAACAAAACACTGAATGTTGAGAGCAACACACAATGTTTTCTAGATGGTACAAATGTAAAAATCATAGAAATACTGCAACATCTCATGAAAATCAGGCTCAGAAACTGTCAAATGAGAAAACTTGGAGGTAGCTTTAGATGAAACAATTAAAATGTACAGCTCTTAGGTGCTAGGTGAGCTGGGACCATACAGGTAGGTTTCAGTCTAATTCTTTAACGCACAGAACTCTAAGATTCATTTTCCTGACTTCTCCAAGCAGTTACCAAACCTTTCCTTTGTACCACCCTAGATTTTTTTTTAGATGTCTTCTATTGGCTTTGCTGTGTCTCTACATGGTAGCCTCTCCTAGAAATTCTAAGCCTGTAGTTCACTGCCACACCAACATCCTCCCACACAAACAAAACACATGCAAATACATGCACACTTGTATATTTTTCTGGGATATTTCATAACTTCCTCCAGACTTGCAAAAGGATATGTAACTGTGAAGGTTAAGAACCACTCCTCTAGGCACCGAAGCCAATCTCCGTATATCCTCTGGCCCTCAATAAATGTTGGACCAATCAAAGAGCAGATAGCACTCAGAGGGAAAGAAAGAAAACCTGTTGTCCTGTTTCTACTCTTTGGCATCCAAGAGTTTTGTAGACATTGAACAGCTCTCTTTCAGAGGTGGTTCAGCATTATGCTGAGAGGTTGAGCTTTCTGCCTCGGCTTTAATCCGGACTCTGCTCCTTACTAGTTGTGACCTTCACCAATCCACTTGGCTCTCCTTATCTCTGAAATGGAGCTTATGATAGTCATTATAGAACCTATTTAATATTTCTGATATAGTTGGGTAATGAGATAATGTGTTAAGCATACCTGGCATGTGGTAGTGCCCAACCAGTGACTGTTGGCTATGAGGGCGTTGGTGCTGGGGACCACAACCACAGAATCCCCCCAGTTACCCTCCTGTGATCACAGAAGATACATCCAGATATTAGTGCACTAGTACAGCAAAGTCTATATTCATTTACTCAACACATTTTTTTATTGAGTACCTAAAATGTCCTGGCATAATAAGTGGCATAGGACGAAATTCTTTTTTTATTGAAGTATCATTGATATAGTCTTATATTGGCTTCAAATGTACAACACAGTGGTTCAGCGGTTACCCATACTATTAAATCCTCACCCCCTCCAGTGTGGTTACTATCTATCAACATAGAAAGATGTTACAGAATCACTGACTATATTCTCTATGCAGTACTACCATCCCCGTGACCAACATATTGTGATTAAAAATTATCGTTCCCTTTACTTCCTCCCAACCTGCCCCAACCCTTCCCCCTTGGTAACCACTAGTCCCTTCTCAGTGTCTGTGAGTCTACTGTTGTTTTGTTCCTTCTGTTTTGCTTTATTTTTATATTCCACAAATAAGTGAAATCATAAGGTATTTGTCTTTTTCCACCTGGCTTACTTCACTGAGCATAATACCCTCTAGATTCATTCATGTTGTTGCATATGGCAGGATTTCTTTTCTTTTGATGGCTGAATAATATTCTATTGTGTAAGGATGAATTTCTTACACTAAGAAAAGTTAAAAACAAAAATGTCACATTTGAACTTTTGGGGGTCTGTGCTAGGAGCTTTCTCTTAATGTGGGGTTTCTTCTCAGTATTCCCTTGACCCCTCCAAGCCATTATGGCAGATAATATGAACTCTACTGAAATGTCTTTGACAAGGATGCAGAAGCCAGGAGACATTCTCACAGATGGTTCAGGCCAGGGCATTTCCTTTCCAGTGGGGTCCTTACTGGGGAAAATGGCTTATATTTGTCCTTGAAGATTTAAACTGGCTTTCATGTGAAACCTTCATAAGAGTGTATATCAATAATACCTTAATAAAAATAAATAAACAAATAAATAAAAATTTAAACTGGCTTCCTTTGAGAAGGCAATACTTTCAGATCATTGGGCTCTGTAATGCTTTTACTGCTGTATGCTTTTTAAGAAATTGTTCTATATGCTTTTAATTCTGAAACATTGGAGAGCAATTGTGTTGGCAAATGGCAAGTATATTAACACTAAATAGATAAATATTCTAACCACTTTAAACAATGTGAGGGCTGCTAATGAATGTTGTAAAAATAATATGCCAAAAATCTACCAGCTTTACTTTGTTTTATTAAGAAATTTTGAATAAAGCATTTAAATCTGGTGATATATATCTGTATGTTCATTTGTACATAATTTTGTATGTATAGTAAGTCTACATGAATTTATAAAACCCATACTAAAGGTAATATGTGTTGGGTCCTAAAAAATCAAAAAGCCCAATGACAAATAATAAATTTTAACAGTAGAAAATATACATATATTACAAAGAAGCTCTTGTATTAAAGAATCAGAAAGCCTTGGATTCATAACTAACAAGTCTTGGATGAAGTGGATTCCGTTGCTGCATTTCTCGCTCTAACAGCCTCTCCTCATTGAGTTTTGGCTGGTGTATCAGGCCTTCCTGCAGTTGGGTAATAATGGATGGCAGGCTGACACACAGCCCAAGGAGAGCTCTGTCAGGAGGTCTCATGGGCCTGGGGATCAGTGTGCTTAAAATATTAGGATTTGATAGAGTTAACACTTGCCCTTGAGCAGATGGTTTTGAACATTCTGTCAACACTGCCTGTGATTACAGCAAACAGATTCTTCATCCCAGAGGGATGGGAGTGAAGTGCTTTCTAGCTCCCGAGTCTCATCTAAGAGGTGTTAAATGTATCATTTCCAGGGTCTTCTCTCAGCTGTGAGAAGTGCAAATGCCTCCCATACCACACAGCCAGAGCCGTGACTTAATCAAGAGCCTTTGCTGGAC